GTTGAATAAACCATAGCACACCTTTTCATTTTATACAAAAAATAAATTAAACTATTAATATCCAAGCTAGGACTTGTTGAACTCATGCATCTGGGGGTTTGAGAACGTGCACCTGTGATTGGAAGGTTTCCGGTACGAATCTCCTGACTGTCACTACAAAGAGAAGTGCAGCGCTCGCATCTTCCTCCACCTTCATTTGCCCCTACTCTGTTTCCTTGAGCAAGTTTCAAACCCCCACCCACCATCTGCTCTCCTAGGCACCCTAGATGGCAGCTCCTTGCTTGTGTCAGGTGTAAAAACAATCACCAAGTCTTCATGTCTCTTGCTGTGGAGACACCGGAGCAGCTGAATAAGAATAAAAGCATCTATAATTGGGGCGGCTGTGGTGGAGTGGTTAGGGGAGTCGTCCTGGAACTGGAAGGTCGCCGGCTCAACCCCCCATCCAGCCGCTTCAGTTGTTGTGTCCTTTATATAATGCAAATATATTTATTTGCATTACATAAAACCAAATTCTGCTCTCTTGAAAGCTCAGTTGATTCAGAACATATCATGCACAGTAATGTAGCGTTGCTTTCTGCTCCGTTTGCTGATGCAGCCCCTTCAAAGCCTGCTTTAGTTTATAGAATCATAGAAGACATGCTGATCAGTTCATCATGAATATACTGTTTGTTTTCCTGAAGGTTGTGCTCCTTCTCCAACCCCTGACAGGACAGTCCAGGACATACAGTAGCTCACAGAGTGTAATAGAGAGCCCTGAAGCAGCCTCTGTGAGCCTCTCGACCTCAGCGTGGATCTTGTGACACCGTGCCCCACAGTTTCCACAAACTCATTTAAAAATAGTTGTGCTTGTCATTTTTAATAGACGCTGTTGACCAGTGGAGAATCTGACCGTCTGTTTGACTCACTTTTAGACTGAGACTGTTTTCATAAATTATCAGAAGATCACCTGAAATCAACTGGTTCTTTTTAATGTCTTCTACACTTTAAACGTGTGCTCATCCAAATCAAAACCAATGGGGGACTACTGGTGTTAGTATCTGTCATCATAAAGAAAGACCTACCGGTTATCGTTCATTTGCCTCAAAGCTTTAAAGCGACTGAGGTTCTTCACGTCACAGAGAGTTGATGTTCTTGTAAAGCAGATTTGAACAGATCCCAGATTTCAGTGAAGCCTCGATGATCATGTCCTGACCTCAGCTCATTCAATAAGCCATCGTGCCTAAACCCATATAAGTCCTGAGTCCATGTGAGCACGGAGGGTAACTTTTTAATCTGTTGAAAAGTCCGAAACTCCTCTCTGAAGAGGTGTTTCTTTCAAACTGAGTGGCAGCTAAAGGGTCCACTGAGGATGGAGACTCAGCTGACGTTTCACTGAGCTCTAAATAGAAGTCTTGTTTTGGGGGTGGGCTGTGATACTACTTTTTTGGGTTTGCTCTTTGACCTCAAGCAGAGATTCAAGCTGTAAAAACTTGTTTATTTCATTTTACTCTGTCTGCACTTTGCATCCTAATCAAATCACTTTTACATCATGAGTTCAAGTAACGTCAACATGTTTTACCTGTTTTTTAATCTTCAGATCATCTTTGGATCAATTCTACTTTTTAATGTATCATAATGAATGTTGTAGTTGTATAAGAAAAGCATGTAAAGATTTCTACAACTGCCCACTAACTTTGTAGTTTTGGTCCTTGCTGCTGTCATTAAAGTGCCTGTGACGTCAATTTTTTGTGATACATATTAATGCATTTTTGAAAAGACGTCATTGACAAAATACTGCAAAAGAAATTTCATGTTGCTGAGATGAACAGTTGTTGAGATTTTTGTCTGTAAAGTAACAGGRAGTGATGTCAAAGGGGAATGTCTGATTGTGAACAGAGCATTGCTACAACAGCCAACAGCCCAGACTGTAGAGAAGAATCTGATGTTTCTTTAGATTATTTTGAGTCTCTATCAGAGAGATGATGAAGAGTCAGAGTTCAAGTAGCATTGCTTTAATAAACAAAAACCAGACAACTTTCTTTGTTAAAGAGTTCCCCTTTGATGTCACTTCCTGTTTCACTTTGGCTGAGTCAAGTTCAAAAGAAAATATGCCAGTTAAGGGACAAAATGGGCAAAATYGTATGTATTGTTCCAACTTTCTTAAATATAAAATGTTTTCTTTGATTTTTGTATTTGAAGACTAAGCATGTCACAGGCACTTTAAAGTTTTATTTCTGTCCCAAATAACAAGACACAGAGACTCATTTTAATACCAGTTTATTCAGAAATACGACTGACTTTATTATGGTCAAAACTGCTTTCTTCCTGTTCTGTATTTCTGCGAGGAAATGTTTGCAGAATCTTCAAACTCTGAACTAGAACACCATCAGTTTGAGATCTTCACAGGTGGAAACATAGAGTCTAAATCTGCTGAATCTGTTGCTAAATGTGAGATGAAGTAGTTTTGTTTGACTCAGGATGTTTTTCTGTCACACTTCTGAGAGCTGAGAGGTGACAGAAGACTGCAGCTCTGTGGATATTTATGGTATAACATCACCACACCAAAATACTCTCAACTTCACAGTTTAATGACTTATATCAACCTGCATCACCTGGTTTTATTTTGGTAGGTCACTAAAAAATTATACATACAATGTGAATTAATACAATTAAACACGTTTAGAGTTCATTAAAGAAAACAGAGAAAAGTCTGCAATTTAAGCTTTTTCTGTTTTTTTTGTTGAAACGTATTCAAGTGAAATCATTTATATCATGCAAACATATTTATAATAACCATTTATAAAATGTTTTTTTACATCCTATACTAGAATATCATAGTTAGCCCATCAAGTGAGTAAGTGGGGATACCCTGGAAATGAAAAGGGCTAACACAGAAACAATTATACACACACCACTCAAAAAATAAATACAATAAAACATAGTTATGTCAACAATTTACACTTGACAGCCCTGACCGTTTACCCTAACCTAAATTTTATTAATACCTTAGCCCTAAACCCCTGACCCACAAAAGGGATTTTCCCTTGYGTGGACCAGGCAAATGTCCACACAACAAAATGTCCTCACAAGCATAGTATAATGTCAAAATATATCCACACACCAGTTCAAAGATGTGCACACGGGCACACACGTTTGAAAATATGTGGTTGCTATATTGTTGAATGGTGTGATCGCACCATCAGTTGCTGTAAACCAGCTTTTCCCACGTCTTTCTTTCTCTCCTGTTATATCAACACTCACAGCACTGTGTGGTTTAGCATCTCAGTCATTATCTAAAATCACCACAAACTGTTTGTGTCATCAGCGGTAACGAGACTTCACCAGACTGGGMAAATATATTAAAGGGCTCGGGGGTCAAATATGATGCTGAGACAGGGAATGGCTTTTAGTCCAAAGACAATAAAGTATACTGTACTGTATTCCTCTGTCTTGTTTTGTCATATTGCATCATATTCTACTGCATTGTGTCACAGGACAGATGTCTTCAATGATGGGCACTGAGTTGCCAATTTTTTTTAWWMYTTTTTATGCTTTTGCCAAAGTTATGTATTTAAACACAATCCAGCATGTAGCAAATCAACACATGGAGCCATAAAATAATGTATTTCAATCAGAAAGGCTCACATTCAGTTGAACTCTGTTTCCCCCACAGCCTGACCCTCTATGTATTCTGCTCACAAAGAGAAGGACACGCCTCCATCCATACTGGGCAGGTCATGTGACCCTGGCGAGTTTGCTCAGTCAGGTTGACAGCTATTGACTGAGTATATTATTGCTGTCATTTTAAAACAACTAATATCATTGTACACTCCATTGGTATGGAAGTCCCAATAAATGAAGACCCCTGTCATGAGACATATCTTATTGTATTTTATTTTATTGTGTTGTATTGTGCTGTAATAAACTGTATATTACATATTGCATTATAGTGTTGTATCATACTAAAATGTACTACTATACATGACTAAATCGGATCATATTGTGTCATATTACATAACATAAAATTACTGCATTGAATCACATATTGTATTGTACTGTTTTATCATGTTATATTATAATAAAACACATCTTCCATCATAGCAGGGTGATGCAGGCAGGAACAGTGTACACAGAGAGCAACAGCTGGAACATGTGTAGGTTGTCACACTTTTTACTTTCATCTAAATAAAAAAGAAATGTTATGTTTAGTCAATCTAATTTCAACGTGTAATGGAACCTCAAAGTGTCTTTTTTGAAATAGAAGAAACATATACTTCTCAGGAGGATTTATTTAAAAAGATACGCACTACTGAACATGGCTTGTGCATGTGTGACAATATCCGTGATAAAAATATCCGTGATATGTATTGCTGGTGTGACAAATTTTCTAAATTCTACCTTTTTCTCTCTCTAGACCCAGAAGCTTTGCAAAAAGCATTAATTAACACGTTTTAACAGCTATTTTAGCCGACAAGTCAAACCARAAAGTGAAATTGTGTGTTTTTGTTCGTGTTCCTCTGCAGGGAGATGAATTATGTGTTTTGTTAGTAAGAGCGAAGCTTCTTCTGGATCCAAGCAGCGACAGTGGAGTTTCCAGCATCGTGCAGGTGTTTGCTGCAGGCCTTCCCCACCAAGAAGACCACCTCTGCAATGTTGAGCAGAATGCACACCCCTGACACGGCCAGCATGAAGACGGTGAAGACGGTCTTCTCCGTTGGCCTGGACACAAAGCAGTCCACCGTGTTGGGACAGGGGTAGGAGTCACATTTCACCAGCCTGATCATCTTATAACCGGGGTAAATCATGTAGAACAGATACATAAAAATGACTTCGAAGATGACGCGGAACACCAGGCTGATGACGTAAGTCCACCACAAGGCCCCKGTTATTTTCATCTTCTGGGTTTTTATCTGCTCCAGCTCTTTCGGATTGGCCCTCCCTGACAGCTTGTAGATCCTCTTGTCCACGTGGCGGCGGTGGGCCACGTGCATGGCAACCAGCAGGGCGGGAGTGGAGACCAGTATGAGCTGCAACGCCCAGAGGCGGATGTGGGAGATGGGGAAGAAGTGGTCGTAGCAGACGCTGTTGCAGCCCGGCTGCTGGGTGTTGCAGGTGAAGCCGGACTTCTCGTCTCCCCACACAGTCTCGGCAGCGACCACCAGGACCAGGATGCGGAAAATAAACAGRACAGAGAGCCAGATGCGGCCGATGCCGGTGGAGTGTCGGTTCACGCCGCTGATGACGGCATAGAATGAGGCCCAGTTCATCTTCGGTTCCGGGTCTGCAAGAGGAAAAACGCATGAAAAGAAACTCAAGATCTGAATGCACAATGTTTTATTTTTAAATAAACTCACAGGAAACGATTCAGCAAAAATACAGTTCAGATAAAAAAAACATATAAACAAGCAGAGTGTGATAGAGCATCCCTGATTCTTCACACTCTCCATTGGCAGATTATTTCCCTTAATTTGAGTCTAATTTTAAGGCTAACAAGATAAAATTTTACACATTCTGCTAAAAAGATTATTAAATTTACACATTCACTTCTTGTTTAGTAAATCAGTCTCAAAACAAGATCAAGATTTTTATTTTTATTTTTTGGCTAGATATAAGATTTCAAACTTGGTTAGATTAATTTTTGCAATGCAGTAGGTTTCTTTTAAAAAAAGAAAGCAACGGAAATAGTATATGAAATGATTTCTTTAACTTTCTTTAAAAAAGTTWAAAATGGGATCAAATATGTATTTTTATTAATCAGCTTTTATTAAACTTTTTAAAATAATGTTTCCTATATTTTCTTCATCTATCACTAAATACATAGGACCTAATGTAACCCAATGACTGGCTTTGTCTGAATACAGCTTGTCCAGTGTGAAGATTTTTTTCATTTAATTTTACAGTTTCATGTCGTCACATGCACAACATCCAGTAATGTGTTAACATGTTAGGTTCCTTAGTGACTAAACAATCTATAGATACTGTATGAGTGAGAGTGTTAGAGATTGATACCAGCTCTTCGAGACCCGAAAAGGAGAAGCGGGTACAAAAAATCCAGGCAAAATACTGACTTGTTTGCATTTAAAGCTCTTATAAAGTATTTACTGCAAAAAATTAGTCACAAACAGAAAGCATAATATAGTATTTATATTTTATATGTACTAGACAAATCATTTACTCTAAAACCATCTTATTTTTTAAATACTCATACAAATCAGAAACAAACTGTTTAATCTAAAATAGTTGTGAAGTATTAATCAACATCATACATAAGTTTTTAATTAGACCAAGCAGTTTTCAACAATTTAATTAATAACGTCAACATTTTAAAGTAAATACTAAGCATTAAATTTTTAAAAGTCACTCATTTTATTTGCTCTTCTCATTTTAACCTGACCTATGACCCCTTCATACATTCAGTCTGATAATAAGTGTCAGAGTTGTTACCGGGCTCAGCTGGAGGTGTAAGCGGCATAGGAGGCAGCGAGGAGAACAAAGTTGACCCTCTGCTTTGGCATGGAGGTAAACTCAGAGGAGCAGATAAACCTCTCTGTGGCCCCCCCGAGCTGCTGGAGGGCCACTTAAAGACGACAACACAGGGGTCACGTGACACACGTTCACCAGTCATCAGCAGAGTGGGCATCTGAACCCAGAATGATGTCAAAACCTTCGCTGGTCAGAAGGAAAATAYCTTGTTCTCCAAAACAAGAGATTTTATCTTGGTTTTAACAAACGGCCTATTAGGATTAGTCAAACTGCTCAACTTAAGAATCACTTATTTATTCTTCATTTTAAGGGAATATTACTAATTATAAAGTGACCTGACAGTGACAAACACACTGACCACAGAATAAACCTGTTGAACACAGAAGCCAGTCTGTCCAAACACCATCTGTTAACTCTCTGGAAAACAAAACRAGCTTACCGTCTGCTTTTCTGTTTCAATTAAACGCTTCCAGAAACATTTGCGTGACCAGATTTTTTCCCCTTTTATCTTTGTTTCCAATCGGAGACAGAGGACATCAGCTCACACAGTGACTTTGCATTGCTAATAATTTCCCTCACGCTGACCAGCCACTGCCCTGCACTGAGGAGGTCATATGCCTCTGTGAGAGCCATCTGCATACAATGGCTCCTTTTATCAGGACAAAACAAACAGCTTCAGAGTTTACATCAAACGCTTTGCGTTTCTGCCCACAGCTGAAGAATCTGCGCGGGGTTGGCGGCCCRTCCTTTTCTCCTCATTGTGCTGTGTTGCACGCAGGAAGTGGGGGACGGGCTTGACGCAATATGGCTGCATAAACCAGCCATGTTGCAGACAACACAAAGAGGCCTGATAAACAAGTTTCCAGAGCAAGATATAAATCAGATCAACTTTTTAGACCCAAAGGATGATTTTCACAGACACAGAAGGATGAAYTGCAGCATCACTTATGAAGATTCACTGACTCCACCTTGAATATGTGAACAAGATGTTTGCAGGTTATTAACGTCTCCTGTAACAATTTGTGTAAAAACACTGAAGCTGTGGATTCTCTCCTCAGTTTAACTTAGCCTCTGGCTCAGACAGAGGAGTGAGCGAAGTTCTTTCAGCCTGATGAAGGAGCTGCAGCGGTGTTTTCATTTGTTCTAGAGTTTTATTCTTTCTGGAGGATTTTAGGTTTAAACACCTGCAATCTTTTTGTTAAATGTATAGTTTTATCATCTTTAAAAATTCTTACTCCACACCCTAAATACAGCACAGATAAATAGATATGAGACACAAAATATATGACAAAGGGCAGCAGTTTTTTTAACTTGAGAAAATACAAATCTCACTCATTCTTGTGACACCTGCATGTAAAACATACATGTGTTGATATTTTGTTTAAAAAGCAATAAAAGATAGAAGCATACTTTATCAGCAGCTGCTGTTGTTAATAGCAGCCACCTACTTTACCAAATAATGGCTGCTGATGTCAACATGTATGGAAAGCCATCAGTGCCAAAGACATGTGACCTTCCATATAACTTTGATGCCCTCTATCAGTCTGTTGCATGATGATGATGATGATGATAAAGTTCATTTACTTGGATTGAGTCAGTTGGTAGAAATGTTGCCTCCCAGCAAGAAAGTTGCCAGATCGAATCCCAGCCGGGACGTATCTGGGGAGAGTTTGCGTATTCTCTCCATGCATGCGTGGGTTTTCTTCCGATATTCCAGTTTTCTCCCCCAAACCAAAACCATGGCTGTTAAGCTAATAGGTAACTCTAAATTGTCCTTAGGTGAGAGTCAGGGTGGGGGCTGGAGCCTGTGTCAGCTGCCTTTGGGTGAAAGCTGGGGACACCCTTGACAGGTCTCCAGTCCATCATGTGGACACAGTCAAAGAGACAAAAAACTACCCACACTCCCACTCACATGTCACACAGAAGATCTCCAAAAGGTTTTTAAACTGAGGACTGGACTCAGAGTTCAAAATAATAATAATTATTTTTAATAACAATGATTTATCATATCAGCCATAGTAAATAATAATTAATGTGACAAGTCTTTAACAATAAGATGTAATCAATGAGAATTTTTTTCACATTTACATGCATTTTTTAATTATGCTATAATTAAAGGTGTGTGTGTGTGTGTGTGTGTGTGTGTGTGTGTGTGTGTGTGTGTACATTTATGTTTGAGTCATTGTAGTAACCATTTGTGTTTCTCTGTACCCCTAAAATAGCTCTCAGTCTCAAAAAGGTTGGTGTTTAAGTATTGTCAACAAAGTGTTACAATAACATTCACATTTTGTAATATTTTCAAATTTCTTGTCAACTTTCAACATTTTTTTTAACAAAAACACGGTGGGAGGTGGGCTGCCAAAGCTGCCCTATGACTGGGCTTAGCCCAGGGGTGCCCAAACATTTTCCCCGCGAGGGCCAAAATGAAAAGTTATCCATGGGCTGCGGGCCAAATGCAGTAATTTAATACATGAAATACAAATACTTTTTAAAGTAAAATCCTTTATTTTTAACAATTAAGCTATACAATGGCCCTCTTCTGTTTTAGTCTGTGCACTTGGAGAAAGTCTGTCATACACTCAAGTAGCAAAGGCTCATGGGACATTTCTTAAATTGATAAAATATGAGTTTTTGTGGCCTTATAAAGTGTGCAAATCTACATGTGGGGTTAAATCTGATCTAAATATTTTTTGTTGTCATTTCATGTTTCATGTTTAATCCTAATAAATCAAAGTTAAAGTCAGCACCATGAATAAAAACTACCTTCACTACAGCCCTTTTATATAGTCATTTAACCAATGGAAATACTCTGTTTCTACATAGGATAACAGGCTACAACCTTGTAACTTTGGCAACTGTTGATGGGCCAAATCAAATGGCTTGGTGGGCCAAATTTGGCCCGCGGGCCCCACTTTGGGCTCCTCTGGCTTAGCCAGTTTTCTGCAAGGACACCCTGTAATACATTACTTTTTTTTACAAAAAAAAGTTTCAGTCCAGCCACTGACAACCTTCCAGGCTTGATAAGTGGAGCTTCAGTGTCGGTCCCCAGTCTGAACAAATAAGGAGGGCTTTTATCCAAATTGAAATTTAATTAAAATTATATCCAATTAAACAGATTAATTCTTAATTTTCAGAAGGCTTCAGTTTTCCCTCGTTTCTACGTTTGTTTACATTGTGAAGTATTGTCGGTTTCTATTATTATTATTATTATTATTATTTTAACGTTTTATTTTACACTTGGCGCCCCACAGATTTGTAAATGTTAAAAAAAAAAAAAACTTTTTCAATCTGCTCCTTTAAGAACCTCCTGGGTGTGGAAAATGGGATGCATTTTTGTGCCTCTGTCGCCAACCGGTCTCATACCATTTCGTTTTGTTTTATTCTCCTTGCAAACATTGAGCAGACTAAAGGGGTTGAGATGTGCTATTTTGAGTAACAATCACTTAATAATACAAATTTATTAGTTTTAAAGGCTAATTCTGGGCGATGAAGACTGAAAAGCAGCTTTAAACGGACGGAAGGACAGGGCGAGGCTTTGTAAAAGGGTGAAACGTTTTGAAATGGAACGCGTCCGCAGACGGATTTTCGCCGCTCTGAGCTTTACGACACTTTTAACAAGGAAAAGGTGGCAGAGAGGAACGGGATACGATAGAAGCAAAGCGTAAACAAAGCGTCGGGTTAAGAAAAAGAGGTCGGGCGAAGCTAAGAGGGAGTCGTTTTACTGATTATCCGTCTCTATGCTCCGCTAGGCTCCCACGGACACCATGGTTCTGCTGGAGCTCCGTGGGGCTGAGCGCTTCGGAGGAGTTGCGTCAGCTCAGCAGAAATGAACACACAGGGCGAGCGGAGGCTGCTGGTTCGTTAAAACCCTGTTCGGTCCCTGCGGTCTAACTAAAACTGGTACTGAAGAAGACGAAGACGATGGGCCACCCTCCTCTGGAGTTCAGTGACTGCTACAGCGACAGCCCGGACTTCAGGGAGACCCTCAAGTGTTATGAGTTGGAGCTGGAGAGGACGAACAAGTTTCTGAAGGAGCTGATCAAAGATGGCAACAGTGTGATCACTGCAATCAAGGGTGAGCAGGCTTACAGTTTCCCTTTAAACTTTTTATTATTATTTTTATTTATTTGAGTGTGTGAGGATTATTGGGCCTTTTTAAAAGAAGGATGCAGGATTTGTGAGAAGCAGGGTGGTCCAAGAACCCCCTCCATGGATGTGATACAGATGTGCAGCAGGATGACCAAACCACACAATGCATACTTCTCCACCTCCCACACTGTGCGTCATGTAAGTCTGCTGAGTGCCTTTACCAGAACCAGAACCAGTGGCAAACAATGCAGATGTGGAGATTTGGGTCATCTGTGTGCTGCAGCTGCCATCATGTTCAGATGAAGGTCAGAGGTCAGGAGCACCATCAGAACCTGCAGGAAAGCTACATCACTTGAAGCTGCAGACAAGTTGAAACACAAAGCTCTGTGATTAAAAGCCCTGCTGCTGCAAAAAGAAGAAGAAGGGACTGATTTACAATAAGTGGCGCTTCAGCCAAATTCCTGAGGCTGATTCCTAATGCTGCTCAGTATTGATCTGACAGGCCTGGTTTTGTTTTGATAATGAGATCCAGACATGCAGGGAGAGCATTGTTGGACCGACCTCACGCTGGCAGCTGCTGCATTGCAGAATCCTGCCAGAAAATCTCTTTCATGCTTTATACTTTTCTTCCAGGAGGAAAATAAAACCGACTCTAATTAAAAGCATAGCTTTATGGAATGCATATTACCCGCCACGCTTTACAGCAGACGTATATGATGAAGGTATGAGTAYGTGAGTTATGTTATGCAACGTCTCACAAGATCTGTGAGTCCTCAGAGGAAGGCAATGATTCTCAGCTACTACCACATCAGGTTTTAGCTCAACATTTGCAAAATTTACAAAATTATAGCCCTTTTAGTGTTTTTTAGTGTCACTTTCCTCTGGTGGCCATTTTCAATTTGATTGGCTGTAAAAGGTAGTCAGCTGTTCATGTGCATGCAGTGATTACTTTCTGAGAATTTCATTGAAATCCGCCCAGTAATTCACAAGAAATTTTGCTAACAGACGGACTGAGTTTCCAGTAATTAAAGGTGAAATTTTAAGCAAATATATCGTGCAAAACTGTAAAGAAGATGGATGAATGAATGAATGCACGTTTCTGTTAATATTAAGTGAGGTTTTATCTTTCAGTTCACTGTTTATAATTAAAACAAATTGTTTTCTGTTTGAAACAGGCTACTCTCTGGCGGTGCAGAAGTTTTCCCAGACTCTCAGCGCCTTTCAGTTTGACTTTATTGGCGACTCTCTGACAGATGATGAGATCAACATTGGTGAGTTATCACAATCAGACGAAGACACGGTTAATGTTTAACGATAATAAACGACGTGGCAGGTCTTTGTTCTGTCAGAAGGAGAACTGAAGAATGAGATTATGCTGGTATTTTTAGGTTGAAATATTTCATATTGAAACTTATTGAAATTTTCAATATTGAAAAACATTGAAAGTGTAAAAATGTAAACAAAGATGTACAAAATGATTAAGTCTCTCCTCTCAAACTGATGTTTTTCTGTCTTGCCTGACAGCTGAAACAAGTTTAAGTTTTTTTTTCCTGTGGTTTTCTTCCCAGCTGAGTCATTCCAGGAGTTTGCCGGACTTCTGCAGGAAGTGGAGCACGACCGGATGATGCTGGTGGGTTATCAGCTTCCTCCAAACTCCCCTCTTCTCCTAAAAGAACCATCATTCAAGATATGTAAAACCACATAAACACTTCTGTCATGAAAAACACAACACTAATACTATACTAATTTTATTTTATCTGGAAKCTGTCTGCAGGAACTAATTCATATATATTTATTAGTTTAGTCAGGAAACAGATGTTCATTATGCAGCTGCGGCATCATGCAGAAACATTAGAGAAATGCTGCCGTTTATTTTGGTTTCTGTTCCTCCTTTTAGCTTTTTGTTCCTTTTTTTTCAGTATTCTAATGTTGCCATGTTGTTGGGAGGTTTTGATGGCTGCTACTGAAAAGTTTCTTGTGCTCTAAGAAAAACAAAAGGGAGGAGCTGTCCACTCTGCTGATTCAGTTTTTAGCAGAAGTTTTACTGGTTAGACTGGATTTTCAGAATGCAGATCATACTTTTTAACCTGTAGGTCAAGGTTTGGATTCATCTTGAAGTGAAACCACAGCAACTTCTGGGAACACATATATATTTTTAATTTCTGTTTAATAGTTTTTCAAGTTAAAGCACAAATCCACAAACAACTTGTGTAAATTTGTAATATCTCAGCAGTAACAACTGATTTTGAATTTTCCCTGTCCAGGTCCAAAACGCATCCAATCTGCTCATCAAACCCTTGGAGAACTTCAAAAAGGAGCAGATCGGAGCGACAAAAGTGAGTCCTCTGTGGGATTTTCTTTCTGCTTTCAAAATAAAACGTCTTGTGAACAAAAGAAGTGGGGTCCCGGGTCAGTGCAGGAAGCACTTTAATGGTTCAGTAAATTTATTGTTCAGTTTTTGTCTTCCTGTTGTGACCCGTCATTATATGACAAACAGGATGTCCTAACTTCTCCAAAACCACTTGTCTGTGTGAACACCCACGTTGCACCATATCTATACTTGCACATAAAGTTATGACATTCTTTGTTGTTACATTGCTTCTTGGCAATAAATCTTGTAGCGGGCACTTGATTGGCAGCACCTGGGCGTACCAGAAGCTCAAAATAAGTGTCAATAACAGCAAAATAAGCTGTTGGGCTGAGAAGATTTGGCAAATTTTTCACGTGCACAACTCACGTACGTCTCTCTACTGCTCTTCCAACAGATGCATGTTCCTTACAAATGTGACACCATTTAAAAGAGAATTAGCTTGCATCCAATGATAAAAGATTTATTATCAAGTAGCATTGTTACAACAATGAAATAATCTACTAAACACACACATTTCCTTACTTTTTTGCTAGGTTTCTGTGAAAAACAAGGAACAATTCACTTCTTTTTTCTTATAAACTCATTTATCTTTTCTGTTCTTTAGAAATGAATGAGTTTCATATCTGAAAAGTGTTCTGTTTTTTCAATGGTGACAGATTTAAGCGAGGCATATTTTGGCACTTTTTCACAGGAAATTCCAAGATTTCTCAAGAGTTCTCAGAGTTCTTGCGTTTGGTCAAAGTACAACAGGATTACAGTGTCAAAGCCTTCTTATTTAGTTTGTCTTTAGAGCAGATTTTCTACAACTGGTTTTAGGGCAGCGTGTAGTAAGGTTGGGCAAATTTGTAATATTTGCCACTTTGCACGTAGTACCACTTGGGGATGAGATCTTTTTGTGTGCATCGCACTGTCACTAACAAACGCACGTGTGAGCTCAGTGATGGAAGGCAGGTTGGGACAGCTAACGCTAACCCTAACACTACTTTACTTACCTGAACCACCGCCATAAACCGGAGTACGAGGAAAACCAGAAAATGTGGACGGAGGCCACGACGTCGGCTACAACAAACTCTCCTCCAGCAAATGGTGGAAACAAATCGACTCAGCAGAGAATCCACACTGCTCAATCAATCTGTCCTTTACAAGCAGAAACGTAAGGAGATAAAGTAGGGTTTGGCGTTAAGATATGCTGCCACTATGCCTTCCTCCAGTTTTTAAATTGTGTTGATAGGCCAAAAAAAAAATCGAAGTTATGATAAATAATATACATTACTTTATTTTCTGAACGCGACAGTACTGTTTGATGTTCGTTACATCAGGAGCAGGAAACACGGTAATCTCATTGAAAAAACAACTCAATACAATGTCAATCTTAGTCTTCTCTTGAGCCGAAAAAACACAAATGCCTCGACCTCCTTTCTGACCGAGGCCCAACGAGTTTTGGTAAGTGTCAAAAAAATCTACAAGAAGAAGAAAATAAAACGCGAAAGTTGAATGAAGTTTGGTGGCAATGGAAAGACGAAAGCAAGAGAAAGTAAGTCACCACACCATACCACTGTCATTTATTTACATCAGCTAAATGCCCCAAATAATCATGACCAACCCTATTATGGACTGAAACACTACTTTCCTCTAAAGGGGGATAAAATTAGCTCATAGACACAAATTATATCTATTAATCTCCAATTTGAGAGTGACAGTTCRTTAAAGTACGATCAAAAAGTTGAGCACAACTAATTCTTAAAAAGTAGCCTTTTTTTTCTTACTTTTACACTTTTGATAAATATAATGCTTCATCTTTGAGGCACAATCTCCTAAAACAGGCCTAAACATCAAGCTGGGCGACAACACGATCATATCATAGTTTCGTCGTTACAGGTTCCCTACAAAAATAATGGGCCATCCATTTGTTCCTTCCAGATGCAAATCAAAAACTCAGGATATAATCCTGCTGTAAACAACTGGGGTGAGCTTTATGAGCTGCAAAATGAGCATCATGAGCAAAACATCTTACTAAAGTTAAAAGGATTTGTAATTTTTTTTTTTACAAAGCGTAAAGCAAGAGTGAACAAGTTAGAATTTTCCACTTCAGCAGTGCAGTAAGTTCTGCATGGTTTGGAGTTAGTGAACTGGAGGAAGGCCTGCTGTAAATCTGAACCGAACCTTTTTAAACTTGAGTACTTTAATCCAAAATGTCAAGGCTGCGAAACATCTGAGGTTCTCACTTGGTAGTAAATCCAAACGTGAATATTTGCTGTCAGGCAAGGCAAACGTGACTGTTATAGTTCCCCTTTTAAAGTGTGACAAAATATGTTGAAAGTACTATTTTTCAGCATAAGAAATATGGATCTTGTTTATTAAAACAAGTTTAATAACCTTCTGCTTTTAGTTTGTCTCGCTGTTTGAGTGAATTTACAAAATGACAAAATAAATCTGAAGTGTTGTTTCTCATCACATGGAAAATAGATCTAAAGCTAACTTTTAAAAAGGCTATGATATTAAGTGTTGTATTTTCTCTTGAACTCTTTAGTTTTTTTTAATAATGAGCTGGTTTTGGTCAAAATATATGAAGTGTTGACAACAACGTACGGTAGGTCTTGTAGTAATGAGGCTGCAGGATGGAGCCCAGGTTGCATCAGGAAGAGCATCCGGTGTTGCTGTTGCCAAATCTTTTAAGTGATTTTGCTCACAGTGGTAACTCCTGCAGAAGGAGGCAGCGGAAAAAACAACAGCTTTATGTAGTCAAAGTTCATTCCAGTTCTGAATATTCCAGTATACATGTTAAATACATATTTTTTGGTCATTTGTTTAGTTTTTATTATTGTTTTGCTTTCATGGTGGACGTTAAATTTTAGCATGTTAGCATAATGTTTATTTTAGATTAAAGGGACCAGATGTCTGAAATTAAATCCAGAAATGAAATAAAGAAACTGGGACAGTTACGTTTTCATTTCTCTTGACATATTTATTTCCGTAACAATACAAATCAATTTTAACAGCATAAACGTGCCTCCACACTGTTGTTTGCACTTTCTAAAAGTAATAAAACAAATAAAGTGAAAGTAGTAGTGATAAAATACAAAAACTGAGGCTAAGAGTGTAAACTAAATTTTATTTTTAGATGATAAACTGAAGTTATCCTGTTAGAATTTTATTAGAAATATTAACCTTTTTTTAAATTATAGTTTTCTCAGCTGATGAAAATCCTAAACAGCTATATTTAGCATAAACAAAACAAAAAATAAATAAAAACTAACAACTGTACTTATCACAAAATGTAAGTAAATGTGTGTAGATTATTTGTTGTAACAATGCTTCTTGTCAGTGAAACTTTAAAGCCTGTTAGTTTCCCTTTTAAATGGTGCCACATTTGTAAGGAACATGCATTTGTGAGATGAGCAGCAGAGCGGAGAATGTGGGTCGCGCACATGAAAAATTTGCCAAATCTTCTCTGCTTGTTTTGAGCTTCTGGTACGTCCAGGTGCTTCCAATCAGGTGTTCACGATAAGATTTATTGCCAAAAGCTTTGTTACAACAAAGAAATAATCTATCAAACACTAATGTCATTACGTTTTGTGCCAAGTTTGTATATTTTTGGAGCTACAAGCTCATCCAACAGAAGAAATGCACAATTAAGCAGACGATTCTCTCTCTCCTCGTCATTCTCAGCTCATGCAGTTCTTGCCTCAGATTGGGGACATTTCCAGGGGACAGGTGGCCATAACAGGTTCTGTCCCTGGAAATCGGGGGCTCACCATACTTTAAATGAGAATGTTTTATTTTGCCTGAACGAGCTCCTTTTTTTTTTTATTGTTTATTGTCTTTTTATCTTATTTATTTTTGATTGATTTTAACTTTTGAGCTAACTTTTGTTGCTAGCTAATTGGTTTCCTAATGCTAACGTTAGTAGTGTTAGCTTTTTGAATAACAAGCTGTAGGAAACTAAATAAAAGAACACTAGTTAAATTGTTTTGTGTTCAGATCAACCCAGTTTAATGCCTAAAAAACCACAAACATGATCGTTTCACAACAGTTTTTGACTCAGAATCATCGTGCTTTTGTCCTCCTTTGTGCTGAGCTCTAACTTAAAAATTCCTCTTGATCTTATCCTACCGTCCTATCTATAATATATAATAACCTCAACACGTATATCCTGCAGGAGAAGAAGAAGAACTTCGAGAAACAGAGTGAAAAGTATTACTCCCTGTTGGATAAACACTTGAATCTTTCTGCCAAGAAGAAGGAGAGTCAACTTCAAGAGGTTTGTAGGAATTACAAGTGTTTGCATCAGCTCCGTAAAGAAATACAAAACTGTCCTCGTTGTCTCTGAAGGCCGATGACCTCCTGGACAAAGAGCGGGTGAATTTCTACGAATCGTCAGTGGAGTACGTCTACCAGATCCACCAGGTTCAGGACAGGAAGAAGTTTGATGTTGTGGAGCCGGTGAGTGGAGCCTGCGGTCTCCCACTCTTCCTCTTTGCTGCCGCATATGAGGGGAAGAGGTCTCTTAGCACTCAGCAGCAGCCTTAAATACATTTATTCGTACTTCTGCTGGACAGGTGCTGGCGTTTCTTCAGAGCATTTTAACGCTTAACAACCTGACAGTGGAGATGACTCAGGACTTCATGCCGTACAAGCAGGAGCTGCAGCTGAGCCTGCAGAGCGTAAGTGGTGCTGCTGGGAATTACAGGCATTTAATATCCAATATCTGGGTACTTTAAGTGCTCTCTGGTTATTTTACAGACAAGAAACCACTATGAGAGCACCAGCGAGGAGCTGGAGGAGCTGATGAAAAGAATGAAAAATCCTTTCCAGATTTCTAAAATGCAGAATTTTTTGCCAATGGAGGGTTATTTATACTGTCAGGAGAAACGTAAGTTTATTCTGAACTTAAAGAGGTGCTTGTTGTTTCTTTGTTCCTCTTTATTCTGACGACACCTGTCTTTTTTTTTTCTTGTTCTGTTTGCTACATTAGGGGCATTGGGCGTGTCGTGGGTGAAATATTACTGTAAGTATCACAAGGAGGGGAAGCGCCTGATGATGATGTCCTGTGAGCAGAAACCTGCAACCAAACAGGTGATTTGTTTATCGCAGAGAAACTAAATGTGTGTCTTTCTACATGATTTGCAATGGGGGGCTGGTGGGGATGTTTTTAAGGGGGGCTAACAGGTATATAATACAGTGAAGCCCCAGTTTTTTGTGGKGTCTTAGTGTGGAAACTGCAATTAATGGATGTGGTCCAGTGCGTTTGGGACCAAATAAAAACACGTAAGCTAAACAGTTAGCTACGTGCTGTTCTGTACAGTGAAGCGGAAATGCTGTGTCACGAACTGATTTTATGTTAATGTTTATGTTACAAAATTAGTAAATTATATTGTTCTTAATAATTTAGCTTGAAAACTCATGAAAAAGCATGCGAGAGAAAAAACAATATTAATGTTCCCCACTTTTGGCAATATCACAGGGATTACTGCAAAATTTTAGTAGTTATTTTCCATGAAAAATCCACGAAAAACTACTTTGCTGGGCTTCACTTTAAATAGATTAATAATAAAATACTGCAGATTGGATTCTAACAACAGAAACATAAAGTAAACCTGATATGAATTGTCATAGTGTCCATTTTTAGTACAAAGACAACCGTAAAGCAAACAACCACCAAAAACTAGACCCTCTATCAGTTATCTAGTACTTAATTCTCCTGCATTAAGATTTTCAACTGTAAATTCAAGCTGAGAAGATATTTATTAGCTACGCTAGCTGTTAGCCAGTCCTTTTGCTGAAACCAGGTCACAGAAAACCATTTCGTTTTGCTGTATTTCAATATCTTTTAGTGTGTTCACCCCCAGCCTCTTCACTTCCGGTCGAGATGAGAAATTAATCCACCTCGTTTATGTTAATCCTGCTCGCCATCGTAGCGACTCAGTCTACGCCAAACCACGCCCACATGCACTCGCGCTCAGTGCGCATCATTGCCTGTGGCCTCAGGCTGACCCTGGGTTGAAATGGACAAAGCTGTGAAAAGTTAGCCCTTTGGAAAGATTAAACTTGTGTTTCTTAGGTTTTATTGTAAACTCCAGTGAGGGGATTAGCCCACTTATACCAGCCGTCCCTGATGCTTTGTGTCTATTTCCTTAACCCCAGACTGCTGGTTGAAATGTTGGCGTCTTCACGTTTCTCCYCGCAGGCTCCCATGATGCTCACTCTGAAATCCTGCATCCGGAGGAAAAGCGAGTCCATAGACAAGCGCTTCTGCTTCGACGTGGAAACCATGGAGAGGTTAGTGTAAAACAAAACAACACCCCCTCCTCACCCAAAAAAACAAAACAAAACAAAACAAAACAAAAAAAAACTGGGAAAGTGTGCGATGAGGCAACGACGGAGCCTTGTGGAATAAAGCGGTTTGGGCGACGAGGTTGAACAGGTGGTTTACAAGGACGGAGTGTGAAGGCTAAATGGACCAGAGCCCAAACAATCCCTGAGCAATGGGGCTGGCGCTGGAAACAGATGGCAGACTCTGGGATTTCATCGGGGGTGGGGGGAAGGAACACAACAAGCTCATATTTATATAAGCAGGCCATTTGGAACAAAACCCATTAGAAAAACCCCTTTAGCTGCGAGTTTCTCCGTCACCTTGCAGGTTTTTATTTTTCTGCGTAAACACTTGTGTGCCGACAGAGTTTTTAAGCTTCAATGATGCATGATGATGAACACATCCAGTCGACGGTTGTTTGATAAACTGAAGGTGGCAGTGCTGTCTAATGCAGAAAAAGCAGTGCTGTCAGCTCAGGCTGCAGGCGAATACAGACTTTTAATTTAATAAAAGTAGAAGACGTGATTAATTAAACCAATTAAAGTTATTTCATCCCAAATCATCCCTTTGTAGCTGCGTTTTGTTTCATCTATAAGACTTAAATAGCTAATAACTGCATCAAAAATGTGCTATCTGCTTGATTGCGCAAGTTCACCTCAACGTAAATGTATAAAACATTTAGTTTAACGGTTTTGATCAGACGGGCTTTAATCTCAAAGCACAGTTGTTCTGGTTAACATTTAATCCACCAGCCTACGAGCTGTAAACTCTGGCATCCGATCGAGTCGTTTCTGCAGCAGGAAGGTTTTTCATCATTTCTTCACGCTCGTCGTTCGTCTTGTTTTTGTCAGCCGAGCACTTCAAAGACACTTCCTCCTGCAGGGAGTTCTTCTCCTCACTTTGTCTACCTTTTTTTTGAATTAAAAAGTAAAGAAATGAAAGTAAAAATCGGTGTGATTTGTGAGTTTAATAAAGCTGCTCACAGTGGTTMGTTGCTGTGATGCACATCCTTTTGACTGAATAATTAACCTGCAACCTTTGCCTTTTATTCTTTGCTTTTTAATGGCTTTTGTTTCCTGTTGCCATAGAAATGCGCCCGTCACTTTCCAGGCTCTGTCGGAGGGCGACAGGAAGTTGTGGATGGAGGCCATGGATGGAAAAGAGCCGGTGAGTTGCTGGAGCCACGTCTTWATTTGGTTTTCAACTTGCAGATGTTTTATCAAATTTAAGCCAACTGAAAATGTTGTATTTTTGAAAAAAATGATCTTTTCCAAGCAACAGAGTTGTTGACAGTTGTGTTGTTTTTAAAATATTAAAAGACTTGTGTAGGTGTAAAACTAGATCACAGCTGGAAGCTGGCATTTAAGTAAATCCTTCAGTATTACCTGTTTTTTTTTGTGAAGCTTTTAAAGCAAACAAAGAGGTTTGTGCGTGCGACGTGGCTCCAGGTTAGTTAATAGCCTTTTAAAGCTATTAACTAATCATGTTTAGTTGTTAATGGAGCCGTTCCTGCAGAAACTGACCAGCTTCTGTTCACTTCCTGTTGGAGACAAAGGCAGAATAAAAAGCTTTACTTATAAAATAATTAAGAAAAAATATATTCTTTCTTTTTTTAAATTTTTTTATTTGCTCATCAGATCAGTCAGCTGTGTCTGGATAGTGTGAAGAAAACAATTAAAGGAAGTGAAAATAACACATGGCACACTTTTAGTGCCCTCTTCCTGTCCTACTTCCTCACCAGCTTCTTCACATGATGAAAGTTTAGTGAAGCCTTTTCACCCAGATCCTCTCATGAATCCTGACTAAAGGCCCTCAGCGCTGCGKGGTCTCTGAATGTCAGCCATAAGCAGCGTGATAAATGGAATAAAAGCAATCCGACTACTCAGACTGTTAGTTTTAGTCATTGGATTCTAAAAAATAAAAAATCGGAGTACTCAGAATCTTTGGAAGCAGATCTAGATGGATGCATTGCTGTTCCTGTGAACATTTTGCCTTTTTCTTTTTTTCTTTTCCTGCACATTTCAAGCCCAAACAGTATGAGCTTGACTCCCAAAATTAACAAGTTCTTCCTCACTTTAGAAGTTTCTAAAAGCGTTTGGCAAAAGGCGGGAAACAAATCCTGCATGTACTCCTCCGGAGTCTCGGAGGAAACTGGATATTTTGGCACATTTATTTATTTATCTCTCCCTTTAGCCACAGACTTGAAATCAATCATGCAAACGTTGGATAAAAAAAAGAGAGAGAGAAAAGCTTTTTAAATGGTTGGTAATAAATATCTTTGGCGTTGCCATTAAATTTTGACACACACATATATTTTTTGATTTTTGTCCTGRATGGCAGCACTCAAGTGACTCGGGGAGAAATTACCAGAAAGGAACACGCTTTTGCACCGGAGATTAAATCTTTGAAATAGATAACGCGGTGTGACCATGATATTTCACACTTCTGCATTATTTTAATTTAAATTTTTTTTTTTTTACTAAAAAACAAAACAAAAACCTGTTGCTCAGACCAGACCCTGGTCTCCAGCTGCTCTGTGGTCTGGCTCTAAAATCAGCACATTTGAGAATGTCTGGTCTCTGAGCTTCACGGTCTGCGTCGCTGCACCTGTGGAGACAAATTGTTCACAATTAAATGCTTCACATTTCCCTCCTCTTTTTATTGAGCTTTATTAAACCAAATGAATTATTTAAATCTGCTCCTACAGTCACCCAGAACTGGGAAACTGTACCCTCATCTGTTCATGAACTTTCCTGGAAGCTTGAAATACTTGGATCATGTGGATTAAATTTGCTGCCTTGAGCCATCATCGTTTTTTTTCTTACCCCCCCCCCCCCTCCACCCATCGTTAAAAATAAGATGATCATTAATCACTCCTGAAGATTTTTCCACATGCTCCACAGTCTTTGCTTTTCTTTTTACATTTCTTATTTTTCTTTCAGATTTATCACTCCCCAATTCACAACCAAGCTGAAAGTAAGTCTGTCACCATCTGAAGCTGGGATAAAAGACATTTTTCTGTGAAGTGGGTCTCATTTATTTGACTCTCTTTTCTTTTTTTCCTTTTCCACAGTGGAACTGAATGAAGTTGGATTCAGGTTTGTGAGAAAGTGCATCAACTACATTGAAACTAAAGGTAAACAGTCACGAATATTTCTATTTTAAGTTATTTATTTTAGCAGGGGTGTGTAAAGTATTTAAAATAAATAAGTAAAAGTAAAAAAAAAAAACTTAGAAAATTATGAGAAACACACTTGAGTAAAAGTTATAAAACTGCTCACAATAATCGGGAAAGTATAAGTATTTTTGCCCACACTCTAAGAAATCAAGTGTTGAATTTATTTAAACAGTTTTCACATTTTCTTTTAAAGAAAACAATGTAAATCGTTTTTTACTCAGCTCAATTTAGTTGAACCAGTTGACCTAACTTGGTTAAGTAAATTCAATACTTTGTTTTTTAGAGTGCATAAACAAGTCTTATGATGAGTTCAGTCATATTTAAATTTGTAACAAGTAACGAGGTGTTAAATTTTAAAGTAAAGAAGTAAAAGTATTTTTATATTTTGAATGTAACAAAATAAAAGAAAAAAGTTACGGTTAAAAAATACTTGATAAAATTATAAATCTTCAAAAAAATTATGTACTGTAGCGAAGTAAATGGACTTAGTTACTGTACACCTCTAGTTTTTAGTTTTCTTTCTGGCCTGTTGGGGGCGCAGTTGAGTTAAAACGTTGATGTTTCTTTTGCAAGCTGCTCTCAAGGGAAAATCGGCATCTTTATTTAATAAAACTCTAAAATATTGTCTGAATTAGACAGCAGAGTTTTCAGAAATCACATTCTTGCCTCTATTTTCTCAGTTTATGACAAAATAACTTCAACCTATAAACAAAAACTTGTTCAACCATACCAGGGGTGCCCAAACATTTTCTCTGAGAGGGCCAAAATGAAAATCTATCCAGGGCTGTGGGCCAAATGCAGTAAGATAATACATGAAATACAAATACTTTTTAAAGTAAAGTCCTTTATTTTTAACGATTAAGCTGTGCAATGGCCCTCTTTTGTTTTAGTTTGTGCACTTGGAGAAAGTCTGTCATACACTCAAGTAGCAAAGGCTCATGGGACATTTCATAAATTGATAAAATATGAGTTTTTGTGGCCTTATGAAGTGTGCAAATCTGCATGTGGGGTTAAATCTGATCTAAATATTTCTTGTTGTCATTTCATGTTTCATGTTTAATCCTAATAAATCAAAGATATGTCAGCACCATGAATGAAAACTACCTGCACTACAGCCCTTTTATATAATCATTTGACCAATGGAAATACTGTGTTTCTATAGGATAACAGGTTACAACCTTGTAACTTTGGCAACTGTTGGTGGGCCAAATCAAATGGCTTGGCAGGCCAAATTTGGTCCGCGGGCCCCACTTTGGGCTCCTCTGAACTATACAAATAAAAACTCTGCAGCCGCATGACTTACAGTCCAACGTCACAGTTTGGCTGAATTAAAACCCAAAACATGAGCGTGTAATTTGACTCGGAACTGTTTCTGACAGTAGTAAAAAATCGAGGAAAGAACATCTTAATGCCGTCTCCTTTTAGATCTTACGAGAAGCATGTGGTGCATTTCCACTGTGTACAGTATCATTAGTCTAAAATACACCCCACTCTCATCTGTTTCTTTTTATTTTTTCCAACCTCCTCCCTTTCTTTCCTCCAGGAGTCACACAAGAAGGAGTGTACCGAACGGTTGGCAGCAACATCCAAGTTCAGAAGCTCCTAAATGCCTTCTTTGGTAAGGAAGTGAGTCAGTTAACTGTGCGTTTCCCTCAGTTACACTCATAAGCTGACGTACCGCAGAACTGGATCTGCATCGTTCTGTGGAGCTCAGCTGTAAATATGACGGGCGCATATTACTGGTTTACAAACAAACATAACTATCATACCACTTTTACTCTTTTATGATTTTTATCATTTTTTCAATTATTATGATGAAAATATTTCATTAGCAAATTATTTGCATTTAAATTGATGTCTGGAAATCATCTGGAGACTCTTGTTTGATGCTTTATGATCTTTAAAGGTGTCCTTACCCCAGCTTTGGGAATCACAGCACTAGCCTACCTGTTCCAGCTGCATTTATCTGTCTTCTTCATACGAGGCTACACACGTCTGCTGTGTCCTGCTGGAGTGTGACGTGTTTGTGTCATACAGGTGTGATGGGCTGTGTACAAAGCAATAAAGTGTCACACTTGCGTATATTTACAGTACACATCTCATCCAAACAACTAAATTTACTCTACTCAGGAGGCGCCATATATCTGGATAGATTATTTATTTAACAATAACAAACCAGTATAAAACAAGAATAGGGTTATTTTTTAAATGTAGGGAGTAAATGTTAAAATAAATTACTTCAGTTAGGTATAGATAACCAAAGTTTCTACTTAAGAAAAGTAACAATTTGTACTCCACATCAAAACAGCTGAGTTCTGCTGTTAGTGGTTCATGAACGGTCAGACTCGTCTTTATTTTAGTAACTATAAATGAAGTTGTGTTGATTAATAAAAATCGACATTTTTTTATGAAAACTTTGAATCAAAAGACGTCATCAAGATATCCAGACAGAAAACTCCCAAAAGTTTCTTTAAAAAGTAGAAAATTCAACACAAACAGGTCTCATTTGGCTTCATGAGTTGTTTTTAAAAAACGATTTGCTTACATTGAAAGAATGTATGCATTTCTACAGCTACTGTGTCCAACGTTTTAATGAATACTTTTTATCTTGTGTACTTTTTTTAAAATAAATGTCATAAGTATTTTAATTATCCTCTGCTGTTTCGTAGATCCCACAAACCCAGGAAATGTGGATTTCAACAACAGTGACTGGGATGAAAAAACCATCACAAGTGCTTTGAAGTTTTACTTAAGGTGTGTGTGCTATTTTTATATAAAAATAATAAATTGTCTTACTAGAGGATTTATTCAGCTGTATTTTATGAAATCTGCTTTTAATTTTGCCTCACATTGCTCATCCACAGGAGTTTATCTGAACCAATAATGACCTACGATCTGCACAGAGACCTCATGTGTGCTGCAAGTAAGACGCATTGAAATACATTACTTTTGTAAATTTATAGAGGTTTGATAATGGTGTTATTTATAACATTAGCAAGTTCCAGTTGTTGGCCAGGACTCCCTTGAAAAAGAAGTTTTTAATCTCAGTGGGACCTTCCTGGCTAAATAAAGGTTAAATAAAAAAAAGTTATTTAAAAAAATGTGTTATATGTACCAGTTTATAGAGTGGATTTATGAACTCGCTGAATTTATTTCCATTTTACTGTGACTAACTGGAATAAAAGAGGCATTCGTACATTTGTGCTGAGCTGCAGGCTTAATAGCTATATATCAATGTTGACATTAAAGGAAATGTGAGTCTTGTGTTTTTAGTCTAACTATTATAGTAAAACTGGGAGGACAGTTGGTTTAATAGCCTCACTCTGTCAGCATGTTACATTAAAGCACCTGGAGATGCAGTTTATTAGCTGTATAGGCCTCTTCACGTTACACATCCTGACGTTTTGAAGTGTTTCTTCCTTTTTGGAACATACCGATGCAGTGGGTGGCCATGAACCTCGCCATACTTTGGCAGGATTTAACAGAATTCTGCAATATTTGTTTGGCTTAAACATTGTTTAAGCTTGGGTAAGTTTTAAAATGTACTTTGATTTCGTTCAAGGAATTAACTTCATGGTATTTCATTCAGATTTTAATGGGTTTGTACCTAACTCCCAATAGCATGGTCATGATTTAAGATCCTTTTATTAAATTTGTCCAGCAGCCAAATATGCTGCCTTTCTTTCTTTTTAGAAGTTGTCAGCTTGAGTTACTTGATGATCAAATGTTTCTGGTAGTTCACTGAAGGTCATTAAGACCTCCACAAACTACTTTATTTTTCTGGCTGCATTTTAACAGCAGGAAAGCACCAACAGGATGTAACAGACAGCTGTCAGATTTCTTATAAATGAAATTATTGGCTCAGTGAATCCAAATGTCTTCATGCTCATGTCATGTTTTTGTCTGATTGTTTTTTTTGTTTTGTTTTGTTTTTTTTTGTTTTTTTAACCATTTGCTGTATTTTAAATTGAAGGTGTTTTCTGGTATTTTGTTTGTATGTTCACTGTGGAGTCATTTGACTAGTCATATATCATTCAGCATCCTATGGCATCATACTGTGTTGTACTGTATCCTGTGATCCTGTGGTATTGCACTGCATTTTATGGCATTGTGCTGTATTGTACTGTATGCCATGGTATCATACTGTTTTCTATAGGATCGTACTGTATCCTATGGTAGTGTACTGTATGGTATTGTACTATATCCTATAGTATTGTACTGTATTCTATGGTATTATACTATATCCTATGGTATTGTACTATATTGTAGTGTATCTTATGATACTCTACTGTAACCTAAGGCATTGTACTGTATCCTATGGTACTGTACTGTATGGTATTGTACTGTATCCTATAGAATCGTACTGTATCCTATGGTATTGTACTGTATCCTATGGTATTGTACTGTATAGTATTGTACTGTATTCTATGGTATTGTACTGTATCCTATGGTATTGTACTATATTGAAGTGTATCTTATGATACTGTACTGTAACCTAAGGCATTGTACTGTATCCTATGGTACTGTACCCAGTGGTATCAGACTCTCCCATGATATGATACTGTATCAAATGGGATCGTATGGTATTGTAATATATTGTACTATATCCTTTGGCATAGTACTGCATCCCATGTTATTGTACTGTATCTTATGATATTATTCTTTTGTGCTGTATTCTATGGTATATAATATTTTGTCCTATGGTATTGTATTGTATACTCTGATATTGTGTTATATTATACCCTCTGGTATTGTATTATATTGTATCATTTGGTATTGTACTGTATCCTGTGCTATCATGCTGTACGTGGTTGTTTGAAGATACTTTTTGTTTTTGTGTCACAGAATCAGACAATCTTGACTTTCGACTGAGTGAAATCCATTCACTCATCTACAAACTACCAGAGAAGAACCGGGAAATGTTAGAGATGCTGATTACACACTTAGTGAAGTGAGTACAAGTTTGTCTTGTTGGGTGCTGTTACTGCTTCCAGGACACACAAACACACACACACACTCCCTTTTGAAATAAGCTCCAAATGATCTTTTGTTGCCTTGAGTTACATTCATACCAGCCTGACTCTGTTGACAGTGTGTGCAGCCACAGCGATGCAAACCGGATGACCCCTTCAAACATGGCCGTCATCTTTGGCCCCACGCTGATGAGGGCGAAGGAGGAGACGGTGGCAGCCATGCTCGATATCAAGTTTCAAAACATCGTGGTTGAGATTCTGATTGAGGACTACGAGAAGGTACATCTGAAGCAGAAACTTCCCATTTTACATTTGACTTTTCAACATAGTTCCCTGAAATGGCTTTTTTTTTAACAGTTGGCAGTTCAGGCCTGGAAAAATTCTTGTAAATAGCTGCAGAAAACAGTGAAACAATGTTTTAAAACTTGGATTGTTACATTGATTTATCAGGATCTCTTACTGTAGAACTGAGCTGGGCTTACTGACAGTGTTGCTGTTGGCTGTATATTCGTGATTTTTATATAACTGTTCTCTGTCATGACACTATTAGTCACTATTGTAGTATTTGTACTTCTACTGAACAGCAAAAAATACATTGTCTGTGTTTCCATCCTTCACTTCTTTTGCAGGCTGAATACTTCTAAATTCAGCTGCAGTAATGGTAACTTTTTAATTTATTTTTTTTAATGATTGCAGATCTTCAGCTCCACGCCGGAGGACGGCACCGCCCCGCCTGTCCCTCCTCCGCGGATCACCCCGCGAAAACGGCAGCCCATAACCATCTCCAAGCGACCCGCTCGCGTTTATCAAGCTCTTAGTCACGACCACTTCCAGCACACAGAAAGTAATTATGAGCCTCCGTAGACCTGATAGTCATCATCATTGCTCCATCTTGTCTGAGCTGAATATACAATAGATGATTATTACTATAATTTTTTTTTCTTGTTGTAATTTTATTTTTCTTGTAGACTTAAAATGGTGAATCTGTGGGGTCATTTTTTGACATTTTCTAAATGGGAGTTATTGAAGTGCGTGTGTTCAGCCCAATTATTTTCACATTTTACTAAACATGGAACCTGTTAAGTCAAATTTCTTTTTATTTTTTTGTTGTATTATTCTTCAGCGCAGGAAGAGAAGCATTTGATTATTTTGAAACTATTCAAATGATTCAGATAAAAGTACAAATAAAGAATTCAGCTCTACATGTTTATTTTAATTTTGTTTTTGTTTTCATTGTGTTTGGGTATATCGTGCAATTTTTTTTCTGTTTGTTTGAACACACAAATAGTTCAAACGGACAGGAAATTACTTGAACATGGTGTGTGTGACTCTGGCTTTCATACAGAGTGGCAGAGAAATGTGTTTAACATGCTCTTTTGGAAACACATTTAACCTTTTTCTACCTTCAGTCCAGAGCTTAAAATTGCATCTTGTTTATGAGTTTTCTCTGTGTTGAAGTCTGGTTGTATTTGTGTGAATCCAACAAGTATTTGGGGCTTTTTATAGAGTTTACGGTGAAGTTTGCCGCTGGTGTGTATCGCAGAGATAAACCCTATAAAGTTGCAGTCCTGTTAATGTTGTCTCTTTGTAACAGATGGACAGAATGATACCTCCATTATGGATGGCGAAGTCTCTGCGAGCCCCAAACCCCCAAGGCCAACCAAACCTGTTAGCAGTGCTCCGCTTGTTCCAAGAGACCCCCCTCTCAGGCAAGTCTTTATTCCCAAAACCGCCAGCCGCCAGGACAAGCAGGCCGACTCCGATGCTGAGAAGACAAGTGATTCCAGGCAAAAGCCAGATTCTTTCTTGGCAGCAAATGGGGAGTCTGGAGCCTCTGTGAGCAGAGTACCGTCGTTTCAGAGCCGAAAACCACCTCCAAAGGGCACGCCAGCCAACCGAGAAGGTACAACTAACTTATTATTATGATTGTTAATGCAGCTTTAAATTAGTCCATTTTTCTCCTTCATAAATGTGTCGTATAGAATTTATTTGATTTTGAAAAAGTTGCAACGAAGAAGTTTTATTATAAGCATTACAGAAAAAGTTCTGAAATAATGATTTGTAATAATTCAAAGGGAGAGCAAAAAGTCATGTTAATGACTTTCCCAGGAAATATAGATTTTATTCTTGTTGCCGTGCTGGTTATAGTTCCAGTTATGCTTTTTTTACATACTTATTGATTTGTTTTAGGAGATTATTAGTTAACTATAATTGTTCTTGTATGTTATTATAATCAAGCTCTTTTAAATGTTTTTTTAAAGTTATAGTTATTCTGAAAAAACTTTAAATGTGTCAATTTTGTTGTAAGAGTTGATCTGAGACACACCTCAGAACAGGGGTGAAAGAGGGGCTTGTGGAGTTACAATAAGGAGGAATTCAGACCAAAACATTGCAGTTTTTAATTATATAGACCCTAACTGAATGATTTAAATGTGAAAAAAAAGGATTTAAAAGCATCATTTGTCCAGTTCAAGGCCGAGCCTGACCAATCCAACACAGGAATCTCATTTCAGCTGTTTTGTATCTGACTTCTTGTTCAATCTGTCATGATCCATATTTTATGACCATATGTGAGGACTGGAATGTAGTTGAATCGGTAAATCAAGAGCTTTGCGTTTCGGCTCAGCCTCTTTCTTCACCACGACAAACCGGAGCGACGCCCTCATTAAGGTCTCAGTCCGTCGATCCGTCGCTGCTTGATGCTATGATCACCTGTCAACAAGACTCCAAGGTACTTGAAGTTTACTGCTCGTAAACTTTACTTGCACATTCCTAAGCTGCACAGGGGGTGTATTTGCAAGACAGACATGCCATCAGCAAACATGAGCAAGTAGGTCCATTTCTACAGGCATCTATAAGTTGTTTTTAGGAGTCAAAATTTCCTGGTTCCAGGTTGGACAAATCAGATGAAAGGTTAGCATTCCAACTCGAGGGTCCTGACCAACCCCATTCATCCATCCATCCATCCATCCATCCATCCATCCATCCATCCATCCATCCATCCATCCATCCATCCATCCATCCATCCATCC